GGTACCATGATCTTCCCCTTGGGCTATTTCGGATTGGCTTTAAAGCCCAAAAAGAGGGTATTCGGTTGCTGCAAGATCTTCATCTTTGAGGCCGAGCTGAAGGAACGTCTTGTAATATATAATTTCGGAAGTACTGCCTTGGTCGACCAAGATACGTTCAACAGCGAACTTATTCACAAGTAGCTCGATAACCAGAGCATCGTCATGGGATAAGGTCAAACCCTCTAAATTGGCATCAGAAAAATTGATTTCATTGGTTGGCACTACGCGTTGCCGTTTTGATTGATCGATGGATTGTGAGCTGGACTGGGATGATTCTGGTATCGGTTGCAATTGAACCGTATTCACCCTATTAAGCAGTAGGAGGCTGTAAATCATATGGATCAAGGCGAGCGGAGAAGACTCGGGCCGTATGGTTAACATATTGGTAGGGGCAACCTTCTTTGGGAGGTAGTCATTTAGGTGATCTTTCCGCACTAATTCTTCCAAATGATCCCTTAATGCATAGCATTTGTTGGTCATATGGCCATGGTCTTTATGGTAATCACACTTTTGGTCTCTTCTCCTCATGTCTAGTGGTCCAGACATCTTAGTCGGCCATTTGAAGAATGTTCGATGTTGAACTTTTGACAAGATTTGGATAATCGGCTCAGATAGCTCTGTATGTTTTTTGTCTAACCTCCGTGGATGTTTGTTGTCCACTTGGTATTGCTCACAATGCTAGTGTGAATCTCAGCGATTATCTCTCCTGGACCTTCCCCGCGGCTCTAGGCTTCTTCTCAGTAGTGTTGTTCTGTTTGGAGGCATAATAGCCAATGGTTGTGTCGAAACTGGTGATGTTGAGTCAATGATTTAAGCTCGCCTTGAACTCGGAGTGCGTCGTCTTCCACCTTGCAATATTCTTCCACTTTCTTCATCAAAGTCTAGACTATTTTTGGCGATTTGTGAGTCAGAGTACTTCGAAGTGGGCTATCCGACTTCAATCCTATTTTGAAGGCTATGACTGTCATTGAGTCGTTACAATCATTATCTACTAGATTGAAACATTCCTAGTATCATGTCGAGTATTCGCACAAGGTCTCGTTTGGTCCAATCTTCATTGACCACATAGAATCGACTTGTTTGGGTTGTACCTCATTTGTGATAAATCTGGCCCGGAAAGACTTTTGGAGTTGATGGAAGCTCTTAATCGAGGATGGTTCAAGCTTATAGTACCACTTGACCACTAGAGGTCCTAGGCTGCTAGGGAAATCTGATACATGAGAGTCCCATTATCCGCACGCAATGTCATAGCCTATTTGTAATGACGAACATGATTGGTGGGGTCCGATTTGCCGTCATAAAGGGTAAATGATGGTGCCTTAAACTTCTTAAGCAAAACAACCTTGGCTATGCGTTGTATAAAAGGGTCACGCTTGTGTTCTAAGTCCAAATCATTAGCTCTCTTTTTTTTCTTGCGCGTTGTGCCTAGGGAGAGCTTCCTTCGTCTAATGAACTAGACGTGTCCACTCGGGCCTTGCTTTCTAGGATCCTCCCAAGAGAAATATGATGTATTGCTATTTTCATCATGCCTCTGGGATTGACGTTACTGCTTCTCTTTCCTTTTTGGCGATTGGCCTCACTCACACTACAGTGGAATTTGTTGGGATTTTGCCAGTTCTTGGTGCATGAGCTCATTGTTAGCCGCTATATCCTTCAAACGTTGCTCGTTACGCTTTACTTGGTTTATTAAGGTCTGCATGACGTCTTCCGTTGATGTTGAAGGCAAAGAAAGAGTTATGGGATCAAAGTTTAAAGACCTTCATGCGAGGAGTATCTTCTGGACCGAAAACCGTTCTGAGTAAAACATTGTCGTTGCTAATGATTAAGGGATCTTGAGCTGGGTCTGCCATGGATGAGTTTGAGTATTCCCATAGACAACGCCATTTGTGGGGAAGTGGCTTTGGAATACTCCTTTAATCCAAACAAACCCTTGAATGATCTTCCAATTGTCACCTGAAATAGAAAAGAAACTCCGATCGGTGGTGTTGAAATTAGCACTCTAAAGAGCAAGTTAGTTTCTTTTGAAAGAAGAGTCTTTTGTTTCTTAGAGTGAGTCTTTTAGAACATACCTCCTCCTTTAGCTTTGGTTCCCTTTTATAGCATCTTCCACCTTGTTTTGCTCCTGTAGCTTAATCCCTCGTCATCACTCTGTTAGGGCCCATCTCCCCACCATACTTTTTAGAAAGGGATAGTCTGGACCCACTTTATGGGACCACACCGATTTATCTAATATACTCGACTTAGACACACGGCTCAGGTACCCTTAACTCGGCACACTCTTCAGCCCATTTGTGCTTATTCGGCAATGATTTGTTTGAGCTGTGGGCTTTAGCTAAATCAGGCCCATCTGAGATGGGCCTGGATGTACTCTATTTGCCGACTCTATTTATTTTTACTCAGCTCCCACAGGGAATACTCAGTAAAGTCGGGTTATCATGTGGTGGTGTCTTCGACTCATGCCGATCATTCTACAAGTCCAAGTAATGATCATCCTTGGTGGAAGCAACTTTGGGCTCTAAAAATTCCCCCAAAATAGAGTATCTTTCTTTGGAAATGTTTGCACAATATAATTCCAGTTCGCTGGAATCTGAGAAGGAGAGGAATCAATATTGATCCTATTTGTTCTCAGTGTGGGCTTCAGATAGAGCATTTGGAACATGTTTTCTTTGAATGCCCAGATTCACTGAGTGTGGAGAGGTTCATCTTTAGGACTATAGATTTCACTAGAGGACACCCAGTTGGTTTCAAGGAATGGTTTTATCAATCGGTGAGGGACGTTTCTGATAATCACACTATCATTCAATCTATTATCACATTGTGGGTCATTTCAAAATTACGAAATAGTATTGAATTTTCCAACAACTCCCTGTCAGCAGTCCAAGCAATACAAATGGGAGTGGAGCTTTGGAGTGCTTTCATTAGAAAAAGAACTTTCAATTCTTTTTCAAACAAGGCAGCATCGGATGGATATGATAATACAAATTCTTCATGCTATATTCTCGTGAATTCGCTACCCAATACTTCAGCTATGCAAGTAATCAATATTCTGATAGGTGGAGCTTGGAAAGGCAGGGAGGGAGGGAAGGAAGGCTGCTGTGGCATGGATTGCGTTCTCAGACCCAGAGTTGAAGAATGCAGTTGCTCATAGTGCAACTAAATGGCAATTACCTTCTCCATTGGCAGCTGAGGGTAAAGCTTGTTTGGAAGCTGTCAAATGGGCAAAGGAAGCTAATCTTTCCTGGATTTCTATTTTAACTGATTGTCAAGTATTACTTAATATATGTAGAGGCAGTGTTAGCACAATCCTATAAGACCTGTCATAATAAATCTCGTTTGGAACATGCTGTTTTAGTATTTTTTTGACTTTTTATCTAAAATATGAGATAAAAAAAAATTATTATATTTGAAATGTCTTTAGCTTGTTACGGAAAAAAAGAGAAATCTTTAATTTTTTTTTTTTTGGGTATAATTTGTTGGCTTTTTAACTTCTTCTTCTTTTTTTTTTTTTTTTTTTAATGATTTTGACTTTTAAACTAAAACTTAATGTTGCCAAAGGAGATTATTGACCCAGCTCATAAGCTGGCATCTTTTGTATTTGACTGTGCTATATAACGATATCTGTTTTTTTTGGATTCTCAAAAAATAAAATAAAATAAAATAAAAAATTAAAATTAAAATTGAAAAAAATAAAATAAATAGAAAAGTACTACCTTATGATTTGAGAAAATAACAAAAGAGAGATGAAAATTACAAAATACTTTTCATTGACGCCAATTTCTAAAAATATTTTTCACTATTTCTAAAGTATTTTTTTTACATAATTTCTAACATCAAACAATGTTCCAAGACACTTATTAATATTTGTCTTCATTAGAACACACTACTACGTTTTAAATTGGATGTACCGGATAACTTTCTCCGCATTGAGACAAGTTTCCAAATGACTACATGACATGGCATCAAGAAAGTTCTAAGAAGCAAGCATTTTTCCAACTAAAAACAAAACAGAAAAACATTTTACACAGCATTGAGGGCATCAGACTCGCAACACATCACAAGTGAAGTTACCCTCTAAACTTCAGCAGGCATAACCCAAAAAACAAAAAGAGAACTTCACCAGCAGTACCATCATGTGATAACTATAGCTAAAAAAGAAACTGAAATCCATACATGCTAAAAAAAGAAACGACAAAAGGAGAAGAAAAATAAATAAATAAAAAAGAGTTCTATATATTACGCCAATAACTTGAACTAATTCGAAAGTAAACCAATTATGATTAAAGTGTATACTGTATGAACTCTAGCACTAAAAACCAAGCATAGCAATGTTACATATACAGAAATTTGTAGACTTTGTGCATAAAATGCTGTGTTATCGACAAGTTAAAATTTGCAAACAAAATCTGTATCCACAGCATTATTCAACAAGCATTGGTTTCTTACAGAAGTAGATTGAACAAATGAAGGACTCACATTGTTAATGATGAATGGAACACTAGGACAGTTTTGTAAAGTGACGATCAAGCCAAAACAACAACACAGCCTATGACATTTATGGTAAAAACAAATCATAAAATGTTTAGGGGATTCAAAAGTTAAAAGCAATTGCAAAGTACAACTTCATATCTTCACATCCAAAACATCTATGGTAGTCACATGGAAGTATATGGCTATTTAATTAAACATATCTTCACAAAATGATGCCATGGAACAAACAAAGGTCCTCACCAGCAAATAAGTTTTGTAATGATCTCAAATTAACAATCAAGTCTCACCTAGTGTAGCATCAAATATTCTTGCAAGACCCCTAACCTATTTGCAAAACATATAAATTTATCTTTTACCACACTATGAAGCAGAATATCTATCCATGTCTCAGATTCCCAGATACCTTCAGTTGAAAACTTCAATCAACCACATTACTTCCAGCAAAATGGTTAGTTTTTAAAAAACATAAGTAACAATAAATTTTCAACTGACATGTACAAATATAATATATAGCAAAGTCTGTAATGATACGCATAACAACAAAACAAGATTCATAAACTATATTAGGAAAGTATAAACTTCTCGGAGTACCAGAAATTTGAATCCATTCACATCATCCAAATAAAATCATTTAAAATTCAAAAATCCAACCATTTCTTGTAGTATTCACAGGTCTTAGGAGAAATAATGCCATCAGGTGTGCACTGACTTATGCGAAGACAAACCCCGCATGGAATTGAAGCCATGGCCCCAATTTTTGGTCCCTGTCCGAGGCCCATTCCAGTTGAAGATCTATAACAAGCAGTGCCAATTGGAATGGAATGATATTCTCCTAGTCCAGTGCTCTTCACCTCAAAAATCTCGTTATCTAAAACCATAGACTTCAATATCTCTTCAATTTGGTGAGTTTTGCACTCAATTGTGGTGATTTTATTCCTCTTGATAAAATCAGAAATTCCCTCTGCTGTAACTACCTTCAGCTTCCGTATGATTTTTGAGCATGAGTCTTTAAGAACGGCAATGAATTCTTGATCGAGTTTACCCTCCACATACCATGCACCGCCAGTGAGTTCCTTCGACGGTTCAAACTCTGCTGCCATAAAATGTTTCCTCCCCTTGCTTTTTATGTTAACAACCTCTTTTATAAGTGCCTTGCCTTGGAGTGTCTTGAGGGCTTTGTTAACCACAGGTTCTGGGAGATTTGTCTCTCGTTTCATGTCTCCTTTCCAGATTCCCATATCTCTTTTGCTTTTTATCAGATTTAATAGTACACTCTCAGGTGACTGAGCGTGTGTATTTGGTTCTGGTCGTTTCCGCTTAAGGGATGGAGACTCCTGTGATCGGTTCATTTCTATTGAAAGAAAATAGAATTAGATGGCAAAATATGGTTAAACTACATTGAAATGCTATATGAAATTAATAAAGAACTTAACCATCTTGCGGTGTGCGATACTTCCAATTTTTAGAACTTTGAATGGAATGTTATAATACTGGGGAAGAAAGAGAACAGGTGACAGATATTCTATCATTAATTTAAACTACATCTTAACACAATTAGAAACATATTTCTTTCATTAAAATCAAAACTACATCTTGAGGTAACAAGATCAAGTAATATATTAATGAATTTATCAACAAAAAAAAAAGTAATATATTAATGAATGGAAATTCTGTAGTATATCAGATCATCAATTATATGATCTCACTCTTAGCTCTTCTATTACATAATGTGCCTGTTTGGTGCAGCTTAAAAGCTGCTTATTTCAGCTTTCAGCTTAATTTAAACTATTTTGATGTGTTTGGTTTAGCTTAACAATGCAGCTTATAGCTTTTTGTAAGTCAACAATCAGCTTATTCTTTGAGTAGCCAGGAGATGCTTAATTTATAAGTCAGAAATCAACTTATGTTCATAGTTATAAGCTATAAACTGTTAAGGCATAAGCTATAAGCACTTTCCCACAGCTCTACCAAACAGGGCCAATGTCTTGATCAACGGACCTCTCATGTAACTTCCTAATAGCCCCATAGGTAGAGCAAGAGCTCATTGGTTAGAATTCCAAATAAATTGGCATGAAAGCAGCAAAAAATTGTTTTACAAACTCACTATGAAATCAACCAACACCAAAAATGTTTCATACTCTAGTTCATCTCCAAATTGACATAAATAAAATGTAAAAGAAAAAAGAAAAAGCAACAATATGTAGTGGAAAAAATTTAAATAAGGACGACAAGAACAAACATTAAAATAATAAACAACAATGCTTTATTTGGATGACTTGAATCTGTGGCAATGGGGGGCAAAATCAAAAAGGAACTGTAACCCTGTAAGTTGTAACTCCAATGTCTTAGTAAAACTTTCCCCAACTGTGGCTGAAGCCAACAGCCAACAGGTGATCCCTAAAGCAAGAAAACCCTATATTGCTGGAGATAAAAATTACGGAAAGTTATCCCCCAAACAAAAAAAAAAAAACCCCAAAGTATAACCTTTGAAACAAAATAAAACTTGGGTTTTTCGATTTTTGTCAATTTAAACCCTAATCTTTTGATTTGTTTTCAATATAAGCCATTCGCCTATTTTTGTCAAGTAAAACGAATGCATAAATGGTATTTTAGTCATTAAACTCAATATAAGTATACATAAAATGTCTAAAATACCTTTTCCGTTGAGTTTAATAACTAGAATATTATTTTTTTTTCCCTTCAATTTAACTACACAACGATAGGCAGATAGTTTATAATGAAAAAAAATCAAAATATTATGATTTAATTTGACAAGATTAAAAGGGTAAATTACACTTTGACCCCCTAAAGTAACTATTTTCTCAATTTAGTCGTTGAACTTTAGACCTTTTATCATTTCAGTCCCTAAACTCACCTCCGTTATTGAGTTTGGATGAAAAGAGCCACCTGTCACGAACATACCCATGTCTGTATGTATCCAATCCAGATCCAAGGGCATAATTGAAATTAGCCAAAAAACATGTGATTATCACGTGATTTTGTCAATCGCATAACCCAATTTTGAGTTAGTTCTGCCGGAGAACCAAATCGTGAAAGAGGAAGAGAATCTAGAACCATAGACATAGTAGAAGAACTTGGACGACTAAGACCCATTTTTTGGGTTTGTGAAGATGAACTTATCTCAAAGAATAAGAGACACCGCTCCATATTATAGTAAGACTGGCTTTAGTTCTATTATTGATTTGTTGATAAGTTTAAGATTAAAGTGACAATGGTTTTGATTTGTTTAATATTTTGGTTAAGGTTATTGATTTGTTTAAGATTGTGGGTTGCGACTTTGATTTGATCAATATTTTGGATATTGATTTTAATGATTAGTTTAACATTGTGGTTATGGTTTTGATTTTGTTAATAGGGGTTGTGTCTTAGTAGCAGGAATCACACAAACAAGTGACGTTTCTTTCTAAGAAACAGCGAGGAAAAGAAAAACCTGATTTGGTCTTGCAATTAGGGCTACGAAAGTGGAGCTTCTTCCATATATTTGCTTCACAGGCTCTTTGATCTTCATCTTCTTCGATTGTTGAAAGCAAAATCGCCTCCCCCTCTCTCTCTCTCTTTCAATCGTTGCCTACGTTACATGGACTGTTCAAAATTTCGGAGGTACCCATGTCGACACGACACGACACGACACGGGTACGAGTGCAGGATATGACTAGGATATGGCTATATACAAACGGATACGGCTATGTTCTGCCCTAAATACAGAAGAAATGAAAGAGGAGAGAGCAAGGAGAACCTGGTCGTTGACTTCCACCGACTTCAATCTCGTTTTCTTCGATCACTTCGATTCGCTTGCTCTGGCTCTCGCTCTCTCCTTTTTAACATATAATAAATAAATTATATAATTTGTTATATAATAATAAATCTAATTAAACCATACATAATAAAAAATAAAAAAATCAAATAAAATCTGTAACGCCCTCAAAATAATACATATAAACCCACATTCAAGACATCCATAAACTTAAGAGAATAAAGCATAATTCTATTTATCAGAGTATTCTTACAAAAGATATTGCATGTTGACAACAAAAGTAAATGCCCTCTAAGCTTACAACTTTTCAAGTCAACACTTAGTTACAAAAAGAGAGTATTAACTCTAATACATATTAAGCCATTGACCTGAATTTACATGTAATATCAAAAGAACAACAAAAAGGTCTATCAGCCTCAAGCCTCACAAGCTACGTCATTGGAGGTGGCATATCACCTGAACCTGAAAATGATGTCCCATATAGGGTGAGCCAAAGCCCAGTAGAGATGTACTAAACCAAATATGAGAGATAACTAAAACAAGAGCATTTGATAGATGGTTAATACTTATAAACCAAATTATATCACAATACAGTTTCATGACTTTCATGTCCATGTTACATTCCACTTTCTTCTACTTATCCAAATCATTTCATAATCATAAACATGGCTCAAAACCTGACCAACAATTAATGGGAATACATTCCCTATTAAAACATTTCCTTTATTCACAATTCACATGAGTCTACAACTCACATTAAAAACACTTCCAATATTTCAATTTAATACACACATTTGTTGTATTAACACTTCAAGTGATACACATATTTGTTGTATCCATGGAGTCCATCCCCTATCTCCTCTCAAACCATGGAGTACATCCCCTATCTTCTCCCAAACAATATGCATATACAATGTATTTAACACTTGTCATACACAATAATCAATCAATACACATATTTGTTGTATTAATTCAACCGTCATATTCAATGACATATTCAATGTGATTAGTTTCAATTTTCCCTAATCAACATACAATGTCTACAGCAATCAAGACTATTCTCCACCAATAGCCCAAAGCAGTTATTTCTAAACAGATAATAAATGCAACAAACAGATATAATATCCACATTCTCATAGGTGAGTGATTAACTAATCCAACTACACCATTTAATCCCATAATTTCTCAATTTCATTATCCTCAATTCAATTTCATGTTCCCACAAATTAATTATTCATATTAATTAATCAACACAATTAGGGCATTTTTCTCTTTTTCTCAACTATTGACCCTAAGGCTCAATTTCTTCCATTTAACAACAATAGTACCATTTCCCAAGATTTCATATACAAATGGAGTTTTTGAAACACAAAACCCCTCTTTCAAATTTACACAACAAACTCCAACTTTTCCCAAAATTTTCCAACAACACCAACTAATCGAAATGACCAAAATTTATGTTAAAGCTCATAGAATAGAGTAGGAAATCCCTACCTCGAAATAGAGAGACCAAAGGAGAAGATGGTGAAAATCCAAAGTGCTCCAAATCTACAAATTTTCAGATTAAAACGTAGCCCACACAACCGTCTATCTTTCTTACAAAGAACTTAGCGTAGAAACACACTAAAAATAGATGAAATCCTAGAGAGAAGGTAGGTGTAGAGAGAGGAGCAGTCGGATCTAGGGTTTATACAAAAGAGGAGATGAAAAAGTGAAGTGTAATCCCGCTGCTGTCTATTGATATAACACAGGCTTGCTCGAGCGAAGGATTGGTCGCTCGAGCGACCAGACACAAAGAACCCTTGCTCGAGCCAACAATGCGAAGCTTCAGGTCTACAACCCAGAAGCACGCTCGAGCGACAGAATGCTCGCTCGAGCGAAGAAACCCAAAACATAGACCTCGCTCGCTCGAGCGAAGGAAATCTCGCTCGAGCGAAGAATTGCAACCTTCAGGTCCAAAACCAGACGCAGACGCAAGCTCGAGCGAAGGACTTCTCGCTCAAGCCACCAGATACAAAACTCAACTCTCGCTCGAGCGAAGGATCTATAACACAGAGCTCGCTCAAGCGACAAAAGGCTCGCTCGAGCGAAGGACCAAAATTCTGAAAAACAACCATTTGCTCCCAATCACACCCAACCTGTAACAATCCTGCCCAAAACATCTTATAACTCAAATCCAAAGTATTGAAGGACGGAAACAAGATATAAACCACAAATGACATCCACGGAACCAAGTCCGGATACAACAACCAAAGGAGGAAGAACCAGGATCGCTATAAAATCTATAAAATAAATTGCCTATTTTTTATTTATTTTAACATAATTTGTTATATTTTTTTAATTTATTATGTATATAAGTCAATTAAAAAAAAATTATATAGATAAATTAAAAATATTATCAATAAAAATAAAACATAAGATAAAAAATAATAAATATATTTAAAAAATAACTATTTAACTCATCTTTATATAATAAATATATTTAAAAAATAACTATTTTAATGTATCTTCATACCCATGTCCAAATTTAGATCCATATCCATGTACTCTCAATTTTTAGTTTTGAAATGTCCAACCCCTAGATATGCACCCGCACTTGCACTTAATACCCACACCTGAGTTCGTGTAACGTAGATCGCTACTAGAGTCCCTCCCTCCCTCTCTCTCTCTCCTTTTTCTTTGTTCGTAATAAGAAATTGAAAACACTTAAATTTATTAATCTTGCTTTATATTATAGTATATATTATATATTATAAATTAATATCTTTTCATTTAAGTTGTGTTGTGCCTTAATACCATATTTATACCGAATGACTTTTCATTTAACCTTTCTCTTTTTATAATTAATGAAAATACATATAAATTTCACCTAACTAATTTATTATTTTGTATTGACCAACTCAAAAAAATAATATATACTTACATATTATATTATATTTCCATTACTTTTAAATTCCACCTAACTAACTAATTAATTTTTTTTTATATTTAAAAATGAATTTTTATTTGCTATTCATTTTTAAAAAATATTTTTCATGTTGTATTTAATTAATTAAATATTATAAAAAAAAATTAAAACTCATTTATAAATATATATATATGTCAATTAAAAATTTTAAAATTTTTTTATATAAATAAATTAAAAAAATTAAAATTAAAAATAATATATAAGTACTCCCAACCTACGACTCTTCTAAGTGGTCATGCTCCCACGCTCCCACTCCCGCTCCCATTTCGTGCAAACTAAAGGTTGTGTACTATGTGCACCTTATTACACATTTTCGTGGTACATGTTACTTATTTTGTAGTAAATGTTATGTAAACTTTTTTAATAGAGTTACAATTCAAATATGAATTTATGTATTTGTTTTTGGGTATTTTAAGCATTTTTTTATCGAAACATTTTTGAAACACAAAATAAGTAACATTACCATAAAAATGCACAATATTACCAAAAAATACGTAAATTTATTTCTAAACCACAAATTGTCATAACTACCAAAAAATTACATAATATTTACTACAAAAAATACGTAACAAGGTATAAATGGTACACATCTTTGAAGGGTGTGTACCGAAGGAATTTCCTACTAAATAATTTACCATTGTGGATTAGGGTTTGACTTTGTTAAATTTCATTATTATTATTATTTTTTAATACTTGGTTTTGATTTGTTTACAGGTGTGGTCCTTTTATTGTCATTGTCATTGGCATATATGAGTTGCCTTGTGTGTTGTCTCATTTTTGTGTTCCTGCATGTTAAGAAAAAGTGTGTGGTCCCCCTTTTGTGTTTTTTACTTTGGTCCCTGTTTGTTTACATGTTGCAGTGCATGATTCAAAATATATTACAATTAAATTCTGTCATGATGGATATTTTAGTGGAGTGGGAGAAAAAGTATATGTTGGGGGGTAAACAAGGTTATTGGGATTATTGTGATGGAGATAAGATGTCACTTCTGGAGTTAGATTCCATAATTAGGCAACTTGGTTATACTGATTATGTTGGCCTTTATTGGAAGAAAGAAGCTTGGCATGTCCTTAAAAGACCGGTTAGTTTTCTTATTCACTGATGATATGGTTAATGAAATGGTAAAATCCATTGAGAATAGACTGGTTGAGGTCTATGTAGTTAACCCAAACCTATTTCCTTTGCTTGAAAGTCAGACAGGCTCTTCTGGTGTGGGGGCAGAGTCTATTGAAGTGGTTGTAGACACTAGGGAAGAGCATAACATTGGCAATGACGAAGGGATTGACTATGGGTTTGGATTCAGATTCTGAAGACAGTTTGTATGAGGAGTTTGAAGACTGAGTACACACTAAGTGATGATGATGTGCTCTTTGATGCTAATGTGGACAAGGATGTTGAGTGGGGTGGCCTTGGTAATAGTATTTACAAAGACAATGGCAAGGAAAAAACTGCAGAACAACCTGTCAATGTGGACCATAATGTAGAACCTGACAGTGATGACTTTGACTCATCTGATGAAGATGGTGGGCCAAATAAGAGGCCCAAAATTCCTATATTTAGGTATAAATCTAGAACACAAGATCCTGAGTTTAACATTGGCATGCTCTTTGATTCACCAACACAGTTTAGAAGTGCTGTAAGACAACATGCTATCATCCAGGGGAGGGATGTCAAGTTTGTGAAGAATGAAGGAACAAGAGTGAGAGCTAAATGGAACAGCAAAGGGTGCAACATGATGATTTATGCATCTCCTGTGATTAGTGAGAAAACATTCTAAATCAAATCTTACAATTCTATTCACCAATGTGCCTGGGAGGATATTCTCAAACAAGCATGTAACTTCTAGGTGGTTGTCTGGAATATACAAAGAGGAGTTACTAATTACTCCTAATTGGCTTGTGCTATCATTCATGGAAAGGATTATGAAAGATTTCAACTCTATTGCTCAAGCTTATAGTGCTAGGGATAAGGCACTTAAGGCTATAAGTGGAGATTATTCACATCAATTTGGGAGGCTTTGGGATTATGTTGAAGAAGTTAAGAGGAGCAACCTAGGTACAACCATCTTTGTGAAATTGAAACCATCAGTTCAAAGGGAAAGGGAAAGCGAAGAGCAAGAGGAAGAGGAAGGGGAAGGGGAAGGGGAAGGGGCAAGGGAAGAGGAAGACATGTTTCAGCAGATATATATATATATATATATAGATATGTATGTTTTGAAGCTTGTAAGATGGGGTTTGTTGAAGGATGTAGACCCTTAATAGGAATGGATGGTACTCATCTTAAAGGGACTCATGGTGGGCAGTTGCTTATAGCTGTTAGGATGGATGCCAATAACCAAATCTTTCCAATTGCTTTTGCTATGGTGGAGGTAGAGTGTACCAGTAGCTGGAAATGGTTCGTTGAGACTTTGATCCAAGACTTGGGAATTATTGATCAACAAAGGTGGACACTCATTACTGACAAACAGAAGGTGTATATTATTTACAATTTAAACTGCCTTAATGTATTTCTTGTATGTTACATAACTGATTGCATTGTCTTTATCTCATGCAGGGGTTGGATGTGACAATTTCTCAGTTGTTGCCTAATGTTGAACACAGACATTGTTTCAGACATTTGCATAATAACTTCAAGAATGCTGGTTTCAGAGGTAATGCTCTGAAAGATAAAATGTGGGAACTAGCTAGGGCTAGTTATTTGACTAGGTTCAAAGCTCTAAAGGAGGATCTGAAGAAGTTTGATGATGAGGCTTATAAATGGTTGGCTGGAAAGCCACCAATGTATTGGTCTAGGTCACACTTTACTACTTTAACAAAGTGTGACATATTGCTAAATAATTTATGTGAGTGCTTCAATTCAAAGATTGTGCATGCAATAGGTCAACCAATATTGACCATGTTGGAAAGGATTAGGGTGTATTTGATGGAGAGGATGAGTAAAAGAGAATTGGCTAAAAAGTGGTATGATGATATAGGTCCTAAATTTCACAAAATCATAGAAGGATAAGAATTAAGCTAACAAATATTTTCTTTAGCTGGAAATAGGATTTTCAAAGTTTAGGGAATGGCTGGGGATAAATTTGTTGTTGACTTGGATGCTAAGACTTGTTTCATGCAGGAGATGGGATTTAACAGGTATCCCATGTCCACATGCAATCTGTGTCATGTGGTGTTGCTATGAGGAACCCCGAAAAGTATGTCCATGACTGCCATAGAAAGGATGCCTATTTGAGGGCATATAACCATATAACTTATCCAATGAATGGACAAGAGTTGTGGGTGAAAACAGGGAATAAACCAATACTGCCTCCTGTATACTCTAAGATGCCTGGAAGGCCAAGGAAGATGAGGATAAGGGAACCAGATGAGCTGCCTAAGAGTCCCACCAAGCTAAGGAAGTATCAAACTTCAGTGAAATGTAGACAATGTGGGGAAGTTTGGCACAACATGAGAACTTGTAAGGGCGAGTTGCAACAAGGGAAGGTAGCACCAAGGTACTTAATTGTTTCAATTCAATTTATGTACTTATTGTTTCAATTCAATTCAATTTACATCTGCAAATTATGTATTTTACATAATCAGCAAACCAATAACCAACAATGGAAAAGGGGAAAGGCCACACAGCAGCAGTACCAACAGAGCCAACACAGCTCTGTCACTACCCAGCCACCATAACCACAGCTCAGAACACCAGCAACTAAACGTGTAAAGGGTCCAATTGCAGCATCAAATGCCAGGCCAATAGCTCAAGGTGTAAAGGGTCCAAATGCAACAGGTGTTAGGGGTCCAGTTGCAGCAGGTTTTAGAGGTCCAACTCAAGGGTGTTAGGTCATCAGTTGCATCAGCTTTTAGAGGTCCAGCTCAAGGTGTTAGGAGTCTAGTTGCAGCAGGTTTTAGAGGTCCAACTCATGGTGTTAGGCCACCAGTTGCTCAAGGTGTTAAGGCTCCAGCTCAAGGAGTTAAGCCACCATCTGTTACAACATGTGCCAGTGCTCCAGCTTGTGCTATAGGTCCATCACCTAGGCCACTTTTCATGCCTCCTCGATCAACACAAGGTGTTGGAAGACTTTACATTGTCAATGGTCAATGCCACTGGAGTGGAGGTGGTCAGCAGTAGTGAATTGTCGCTTCTCCTTTTTTAGGACTTGCTTAATGACTTGTTCAAACCTACTGAACTTATTTTTGTTAAAATGTAGTTTTTGTACTATTTGTTGCACTTGTTTTTAATCAATATCGCTCAGCTTGACTTGTTTTTTGTGTTTGCAAGTCAGGTAACAGTAGGTTTGCGGAAGGTAGGTATTTCATTATTAATTTCAAATATATCAAATACATGGACATCACTTTAGCTCTAACATTTCATCCCTAGAATCAGTTTTGTCTCCATGTCCATTGCTAAATAACAGAACAAAAACCAAAGAACAAACAAATGTTATTCTAGGTTGGAATATGTCCAAGATGTTATTCTAGCAATTTTCCTCTTTACAATTTAAAGGCCCAAAGTGATAAACTTATATTCCACTATGCCAAATTACCCTTCCTCAATAACGGAGGTGATCAATTGGGCTGAAATGATAAACGGTCTAAAGTTTAAGGACTAAAATTGAGAAAGCAATTACTTTAGGGACCAAAGTGAGAATGACCCAATACTTCAGGGGGTCAAAGACTAATTTACCCAAATTAAAAACCCAAGTTTACTTTTATTTTATTTTTTGGGGGGGTAATTTTCCCTAAAAATTACTAGTTTCAGTGACGCAAGGTGCTAATTTCAGGGAAAATAAATATTTGATTATTTATCATGTGAATACACTGGATAGCAAAACCAATAATTCAATAACAATGGAGTCTAATAAATGAGCAACATAACAAAATTCAATTTCAATATTTTAATACACACAATCTGCTTTCCTTCCTTCCCTCTTTCCCTTAGCTTTCCTTCCTTCCCCCACTCCCTTCCTCATCCTTACCTAGCAACAACTCCCCCAAATAGAAAAAACTTTTTTTTTAAAAAAAAATTCACCAAAAAAAGAAAAAAAAAAGACTAAAAACAACAATCAAGCAATTTCAAACAAATTTCAAGCAATATCAAACAAATTTCAAGCAATCTCAACTAATCTCAAGCAATTTAATGCAAATTTGAAGCATTTCTCCATCATTAGAAAGACAATTTCAGAAAAATAAATACCTAGATTTCAAGATGTGTGATGGATTTCAGACGATTTCAGCAATCTCAAGCTTCGTCTTGTTCATGTGCTAGCTTCGTCTTAGGGTTTGTGTGTGGGGTTTCGGACCTATGTCGAACCAGTATCATACTCTAGGGTGGTCTAGTGAGAGCAAATCATCAAGCAAGAATGGGCCGGCCAGTCACCAGCGAATCGACGTCGCAAGACGTGGTCGACTTCGATTCAGTCGTGTGGTGAATCTATGGAATCCAGACTCCCTTGCAAATACCATGCTAGGGTTTTCCGCTTCATTTGCTTTGCCTGAGAGAGAGAGAGCATAACTGGGTGGCCATCGGTCCCTCCAACTAGGGATGGCAATGGGGGGCAATGGCGCGGATATTAATTCTCCATCCCCATTCCCCTATTATAATTTTTCTCCATTCTCGATTTCCCATGCCCCATCCCCATGGAGACTATCCTCTCTATCCCCTAATGGGTTTAGGTTTTCCCCAACCCAACTTGACCTTTTTTGTTTTTTTTCAAGGTTCACCGCGAAAGCCAAATCCACATTCACTTTTATTTTTTATTTTTTTGGTTCAACAAGACAATCAAATACATATTAATTAATTAATTAAAAAACTTATTTTAAAGTAATCAAATTTATAATCTTAAAGACAATCAAATTTTAGTAACCTAAAAAAAAAAAACAAAAAAAAAGGTAGTATGGACCACCAAAAACTGCCAATCAAGAAACTTGTATCCAATTACTTCAAGTTTTGTCCCACACAGTAACATCAATCAAATTAAAATATTAAAAATAAAAAAAAAGTTCGATTCAAACAAGACATGTAAATTCAAAGCATTACAAACATAGCCAAAGCAGACTCACCCGTCTTTGGTGAAATTTCAGATGGGTTGGGAGATTTAACCAATCTCGATCAGATTACACTCTCCAGAGACAATTTTAGCGGCGAAGCTTCTCGATCTTAGCCAAAATGGGTTCGAAGGAAAAGTCCCGGAATCAATCGGAGGCTCAACAGAGCTTTTGAAGATCGACCTCAGCTCAAATCAATTTTCCGGGAAAATCCCAGGAAGCTTGAAGAATCTAAGGAATTTGGAGTTTCTAGACATGGGTTATAATCGGTTTTGCAAAGAGAAACGAGAGAATGAGAGAGAGAACTACCGTGGCAAGCGCCGCCGCTAGATCATCGCCGTCACAAATCCGGGAAAATTATTGGCTACACAACAGGCCTTTTTGCACCGTAAATTTCCACCGATTGATATGGTAGTAAGCTGATGTAGCTTGCTAGTTGGAACTTGGAATAGATAACCATGAAAATAGTCAAAAACTAGAAGTTTAAAGAAAATCACAGAGAATATATATATATATTCGGTTCTGGAGTGACAGAATGAGAGAGAGTGAGAATGGAAAACCTAGCTGTGGAGAGGGATATGGGGGGATGGGCGGGTAATCCTTTCCGACCCATTTTTGATGGAGATTTAAACAATGGGGGGTGTTTGGGGTTTTAGTTTTTTTTGGTTAAAATAATATTAAAAAAATAAAATAGATTAAAATAGTTAATAAGATAAAATGTCATATTAAATTTATAATTATTTTATTTTTTTCTTATAAATATCACATCTAATTATAAAAAAATATAACTATCTTTTCAAATACAAAAATTTTAGCCTCCTAAAATAGTCAGAAACTAAAATAGCCTACTAAAATAGTAATTTCGCAAACACCTACAATATCACCTATTCAATCTAACGGGTAGAAAAAATGACGAATTACACTAACAGTCCCTATAGTTTGGGACTCGTGTCACTTTGGTTCTTAACTTTTCAATTGTGACATGTTTGACCCTTAATTTTGAATCTTATTTCAAATAAAGACAATTGAAGATACTATTACTTAATTTCAATGGTAAAATTGTCAATTTTATAAAATATAAACTAATTTGACAAAAACAAATGTCAAAAAGATATTTTTTAATTTTTAAAAATTATTTTCATCCACCAATGATAAAATTATGTAAAATTGATAAATCTTTTAGACATTTTTTTTTTTACCAAATTAATTTTTATTATGTGTTTAGATGATAATCATATAATGGGCGGTTGTTAGAATTTTAATGTGTAATCGATATATTTAATATATGAAATGTTTTAAGTTTTGGATTTTTTGATTTAATAGATTAGTTTAATAATAATATCAAAATTGTCGTCATATTTGACTTTTGAAAAAATATAAACTAATTTAATGAAAATAAAAATAACCTACCCATGACATGATTATCATCCAAATACATAATGAAAATTAATTTTGGTAAATAAATAAATGTCTAAAAGATTTATTAATTTTACATAATTTTATCTTTAGTGGGTATAAATAAATTTTAAAAATTTAAAAATATTTTTTTAACATTTATTTTTGACAAATTAGTTTATATTTTATCAAATTGACGATTTTACCCTTGAAATTAAACAATGATATCTTCAATTATCCTTATTTGGAACAAAGTTCAAAATTCAAGGTCAAATGTATCACAAATGAAAAGTCAGGGACCAAAGTGACACAAGCCTTAAACTATAGAGACCGTTAATATAATTCGCTCTAGAAAAAATGAAGAAACTTTTCATATTTGGTTGGGTCTCCATAGTATTCACTAAATGAGTTATCCATTGTCATCCTTACCTCCAACTCGACGTGATAATTTTTTAAGATTTGAAATTTTTTATTTTGTTTATAAAATTGGATTGGGCTAATGTTTCAACTAAACTTAGCATAGGGAATTCTAGCTCAGCTCAATTCAATTTGATCAGTTACAAAATATTAATTATAATTTTATATTATTTTGGTTATAAAATAAAATAAAAAATAAAAATTGTATATATATATTTCTAGGATTTAAATTAAAATATATGTCAAAAATCATATTTATTTTGTCAATGAATTTTTTTAATATTTTAAATTGAAATAATAAATAAAAAAACCGAAATAGTTTAATATTCATTAAAGGAAAAAAAATATAAAAAAATTAATAGCGCATATATATTGAATTAAATGGGCAGACTTGGAATTTGAATTTTTTTATGAGCATATTTGAGATGGCTAAATTAGACCCGATTTTGGTCCCTGTCCGAAGCCCATTCCAGTTGAAGATAGATAACAAGCAGTGCCAACTGAAATGGAATGATTTTTTCCCAATCCAGTGCTGTTCACCTCAAAAATGTCATTGTCTAAAACCATAGACTTCAATGTCCCTGTTTGGGAAGTGGATTTTTAGTTTTTTTAGAGTTAAAATTCATAAAAGATAAAATAAGTTAAAATAGTCAATAAAATAAAATGTCACATTAAATGTATAATCATTTCATTTTTTTCCTCACAAACCTCAATCTAACTATAAAAAAATCCAATTGTCTTTCCAAACACAAAAATTTTAGCCTATTAAAATAGTCAAAAATTAAAATAGCTTACTAAAATAGTTAACTTTCCAAACGAGGCCAATATCTCTTCAATTTGGTGGGTTTTGCACTCAATCGTGGTGATTTTATTCCACTTGACAAAATCAAAAATTCACTCTGTCGTAACTACCTTAAGCTTCCATATGATTTTTGAGTAGAGCCTTTAAGAACATCAATGAATTCTTTATCGAGTTTACTCTCCACATACCATGCACTACCTACCAATGAGTTCTGTGTAAGTGATTTTTCGATCACACTGCCCTACTCAGTACTTAGCTGGAGAATACTGGCAGAATAGATGACACCTGGCTAACCTGTAACAGAAAGAGAAGATTCCGACGGTGGTTCATCCACTCGGGGGCACTCCGATGATCAAGTCAGTATATCTCTTAAAGATAATCAATAGTGCTTAACTCACTAGACAGAATATCAATTGCGTACCTTAGACCCATGGGGGTGCCTCTCTTTTATAGTTACCTCAATCCTAATCCCAATGGAAGCCTGACTTCTATGGATTCCTGTTCAGTACTTTCTTTGGACTCCTTAAGAGATAAAGATAAACTCCTTAAGAGTTTTATCCTTATCTTGGCTAAGTCTCTTCTTTATTCTAGGACTCTTGTCCCTTATCCTTATCCGTTTATCTCGGATTCTGATATCTTCGGAGATAACCTCGGCCTAACCAAGATGACCTCGGCATATTGACCAGGACATGTGGCACCTCGGCTGACACGTCGGTGTCATCTTGCCACGTGTTGGTACTAAAAAATATATCCCCACAACTGCCACCTAGGTTCTATTACCTCAGCATTCTGAGGTGATGGAACCTATATCATTCATTCGTTCAAGTACGTTGGTTTACAGTATCTCAGCCGAAATCATTATGTTGGCCGACATGTCTTTAAAGAACAAGAACTTCAAGAACCCTTTCACGCGTATGAGCTGTCATACACTACAATTCAACCGTTTCAGTTACGTGTCCCTTTCTTATTGGATTGTACTTGGCACGTGCTTCATAATCGTCTCGCACATACGTGCGCCGTCTGACGCATTCGCTGTCCCAGGCGCATTAATTATCCTTTTTTGCCGCCATTTCAAGTTTTCGACAAAACTTGTTTCCTTCTTCTTCCGTTTCTTCATTTTTACATCTATTCCTTTGCTTTTTCTCTCTCTAGGTCTGAATATGCCATTGTTCTGGATCTCAAGCTCTGCAACTGCCTTTATTCTTCTTTCTGGTGAAGCTTCCGCCGTTTCTGTTACTTCTGTAACCATTGTCTTACTTCGGCGATCCTTACACCGGCTTCTTTTCTTCGGTAAGTTTATTGTTCCTTTCATTTTCCATCCTTTGATGCTTTGTATTACTCAATGCCATTACTGCATTTGTTCAAACCTTTAGCTTGTGAATCATCCATCTGAATATGTTTTGTCCATGATTTTTCCCTTTGCCCATATTTTGAACAAACGCACTGTTTCACCACTTCCCTGTATTTTTGCCACTGTTCTTGGCCCTATACTTCTTGTATTCTTTATGCTCTTGATAGACCATCTCTATTCTTGATTCTGAAACTCGTTCTTATTTCTGTTTTTTGTGTCTTTTCCAGATTCGTGCCTTCAGTCTTTGTTTCCATAGACTTAGGTTTGGGATTTGTCTGTAAAACCCACAATTTAGGATAAAACTGAAACATCCCTTACAAATTTCTGCACCAGCTTAAACCTAGGTTTTTGCCGAGGTCCCAATAACCCTTTTTTGATACATCTTCTTTCTGAAATTCAATACCTTTAGTTATCCCGATATCATGGGTATGTGGAAACATCGGGTAGACACCCCCCCAAGCTAGAATTTTTTAGGCAAGAGTTTGAAATCCCAGCCGATGTCAATCTGAGGTTGGCTGGGGATGATGACTCCATCATGCCTACTGATCAATCCATGCCCTTTCCTGTAGTTGTCTTTATTGAGTGTGGACTTCGGTTTCCACTCGACCCTTTTTTCTGTCAAATCCTTCACTTTTATAAGTTGAACCCAATGCAACTCGCCATCAATTCTTACCGAGTTATTACTGGTACCATAGCTTTAGTCAAACAAGAGAATGCCAGGATTACGCTTGCCGATTTCCAATACTGTTATACCATGTGTCGCCTTAGAAAAGACACAGACTATGTCTACTACCTCAAGTTGAGATCCACTGAATATAAAATCGTAGCCGACCTCCCAGACTCCAACAAGGGAGCTGGAGACGATTACTTCATCATCTCGGGCAATTGGAAGTTTCAGCCAAACGATGACCTCCATCTTTATCCCTTAAGCCGAACTGTTTTAGGGGAAGGAGCTGGTAAGGGCCACCCTTCATAAGTTTTCTTATCTTCTTGCATAAAGTTTTCAATATTCTATTCTAATGTTTGTGTTGTTCTATCTTTGCAGTTCTTCCTCAGCCTCCAAAGAACTTCCTCCAATCCTTCTTCCCCAGCAGGGATTTGAAGAAGCTACTGAACCTGCCAGTTCACAAACGAAAGGCGCCTTTGCTTCTTAATTTTATCCCAACCTATAAGTCAGCTTTGCCCGACGTCCCCAAGAGGAAGAAGAAAAGCCTCTCTCCTCCTTCTGCTACAACTCCGTAGACTGCGTCCACATCTCGGACAGATCAAGGGTCAACTTTCCGATCCAGCTGATCAGCCATCAACGTCGGCTCCATACTTGATTCCAATATCACAGCGCCGCCGTCGACGCCGAACAGTTTCTACTGCCGAGATGGGTCGCCCAAAACCAATTGCGAAAGATCTTCTGGCCAGCATTCCATCATCCGTTGACGATCAACCAGCATAAACCCAACCTCCACCAAAGCCGAAAAGAATAAAGAAGGCTAAACCAAAGGCTAAGGTAACTCAGGTTGAGTCTGAAGATACCTTGCCTATCTCAAAGTTGGCTCAGAGTGACAAACCTCAACCCTCTGCTGGGAAGAGGCGCTTTGAAGCTTGACCATCAGAATCCCCAAAATCCAAAAAGCTGAGGTCATCCTCCGCTA